TTTTTGTTTGTTTTGCCCTATGTTCTTTTGTGACATGTCTATTTTATTTACACTGAGAAAATATATATAATAACAAAATCTAATAGAAGCTCGGTCATTTTTTTAGTAATGACTTTATTGAGCTATAACTCATACCATACAACTCAGCTATTCAAAATGTGCAATTCATTAATTCTAAGTATATTCACAGTTTCGTGTAACCATCACCAAAATCAATTTCAGAACATTTTTATCATTCTTTAGCCCCCAAACCCTATACCTATTAGCAGTCACCCCATGCAACTTGAATCTACTATCCATTCCTATAGATGGCAAAACATTCTTAAACTGGGATTTAGACTGTACCTTCCTTCCCTCGTGGGAACTTTCCTATTCAGGTCTTATATTAATCATTTCCAACTGCAGAACAAAGTACTCCCAAAGTCAGCAGTTTAAAACAATATAGATGCATTTTCTCATAGTTTATATGGAGCAGGGATCCAGATTCAGCTAGGCTGGACTGTCTGCTTCAGGATCTCACATGAGGTAGCAGTGTGCTGGCCAGGACTGTGGTCTTAACTGAAGGCTTGACTGGGGAAGGGTCCTACTGCCAAGCTCACTTACATTGTTGTTGGCGGGACTTGGTTCCTTGAGGACTGTTGAACTGAGGGCCTCATTTCCTCACTGAATGTTGGATGAAGGCCACCCTGAGTTCTTTGCCAGCTCAGCCTTCCCAATATGGCAACTTACTTCTCCAAACCCAAGGGAAGAAAGAATCTGCTAGCAAAATAGAAGTCTTATCTTTTGTAACCAAATAATGGAACTGATATTCCCTCAATGTTGCTATGAGTCTTTGGTTAGAAGAAAGTTACTCAAGGGGAGAAGACTACAAAGGCCGTGAACTTCAGGAGGTAGGCAGCATTGGCGCCATCTTGGAGGCTGTGAACCAAAACCGTCTCCTGCAACCTAAATGCCATAGACTACTTAATGTCTATTTAATACATGTCTTTTTGGCTTCAGCTAACCAGAATTGGTGACTGTTATTTGCATACAGACCAACCCATGTGTCACTTACTGTTCTATGATTTTGTGATTCTAGTTTCAATTACTTTAGCACTTTGCTCTGTGAGGTATGAGTTACTTGGTAAAGTTATTGACACTGCCCATTACTCCTTTTTTTTTCAAAGTCATCAATTCTGTATCTGATTATTCACTACCTCAGAGCCAATTAACCAGCAGTCATCAAAACTTGTTTGGATATTACTCTCCACAAACCTCACAGAAGAGAGGTTAAGAACCTTTCAAGATAGCCCTGTCAAAGTAGGAAAACTGAGACCTGTTAAATGGAACATCCCATAAAGCCTCATAACCAGCCCAGGATTTTTGCTGTTTATCCTCATCTGGACTGTGACCAAAAGATTGCTTTCTTTCCAAACATTCTGCAGAATTCTAGTTATCAGAAACCTAGTGCAAACTAGCAAGAAAAGGGAATTTGTTGGCTCATATTACTGGGAGGAATACTGGGTAGGCTCACAGGATGAAAAGAACAACTACAGAACTCCGGGGCCTGCAGCCACTGGCTCAGTGCGGACAGCTGTCCTTCCATCTTTTGTAGAGCTGGCTCTGTCTGTCATCGTCACATCTTGCTCTCCAGGCCTCATTCTTTACTGTTTCAATCATGCATTAATCGTTAAGCCAGAAGAGAGAAAACTTGGGTCAGGACTGTAGTCCCAGAACAAGGTAGATGGGGGTACAATGCAAGGCCAAGGCCTGGGTCAAACAGCTACATCCTTGTTGCCAAAAGAAGGACCATGGGAAACCAATAACCACTACTGCCCAGTGCAGGCTCTGACTCAAACCCATTGTCAGGGGCCCAGACATGAACAGATCAACAAGGTAAATGACTCCTGAAGTATTGAGGATCTTGAAAATGACACGACAATGCCATAGTCATGGCAAGGCCCTGAGAACCATGGTTTGGAGGGATTGCTTTTAGGCCAATATGTTTCATGGAGCCTGGGAATTCATCTTATTGCACTCCAGGTTCAGTGTCTTAGCCCACTGGCACGATAGGGTCACACTGAATTTTTCCATCATAAATTTCACTTGACAGTTAGAAAAAAAATTATTGGCAGAGCCATGAAGGCAAGGGGTGACATGGGAAATAGCTGTCCATTTTATGGACTCATGACCAAGTTTAAATTATGATAACAAAAGAGGGTCAGAGCATTTTATTTACTGCTACTCTCTGTGATTTATGGGCAGATTGTTGCTTTTTGTTTTTAACCTTTCAAGGAAGGAATAATTTGTCAAGTTCATGAAAACCACACGTACTCAGACTCATTAATCTTAGTGCCGAGGGTGAGTCTTGTTTTTAGACCCATATAAATATCAGGGTCAAGATCAGTCAGACTTGACTTTTGGAAGCTATAATGTTGTGCTCCCTTTAAATACGTAAATTGGCACTGAAGTTGCCCTAGTAATACTTCCAAAGAAGTCCTACAAGGGCCTTCCTAAGGACTTAGCCTGTGTACCATTCATGACTACTCATGTATCTACTCACAGCTGATCACTTGGTCTTTGGCACTTCTTTATGGAGGGCCCTGTATGTGCTAAGCGGTAGAAACAATTGTCTGCTGCCTGACCCTGCTTACACATAACCTAGTTCAGGACTCTCCCCTCTAGTAAGGAAGCAACCCACTTTTAAATTTAGACTGGGATCCAACATTAAGGACATAAGGCTTCCCTGGTGGCTTAGATAGTGAAGAATCTCCTGCAGTGCAGGAGACCCAGATTTGATCCCTGGGTGGGGAAGATCCCCTGAAGAAAGGAATGGCAACCCCCTCCAGTATTCTTGCCTGGAGAATTCCATGGACAGAGGACCCTGACGGGCTATAGTCCATGGAATCGCAAAGAGTCAGACGTGACTGAAGTGACTTAGCATGCATGCGTTAAGGATGTAGGGCGTAGAGGTGCTGGTGGTGGTTTAATCGCTCAATCGTGTCTGACTCTTGAGACCCAGGGACTGTAGCCCGCCAGACTGCTCTGTCCATGGGATTCTCCAGGCAAGAATACTGGAGTGGGTTACCATTTCCTTCTCCAGGAGGGCGTAGAGAAATGAAGATAAAACCTACCTGATGTCTCCTGGAGGCAAAGGAAAGTATAGAGGGCCAGCACTCAGTTCTTGGTTCTGGGTTTGACTCTTGGCAAAGACACTCCCCAACCTTGTGATACTGGGAAATTAGTTAACTTCTTTAAGCCTTTGACCCAATAATAATATAGACCTATAAGGATTGTTTGCTATGTTTTAATAAGATAATTCAAGTAAGACATTTAGCATTTTGTGGGAACATTGCTTTAAAACTACTAGAGGAAAATAATCTCAGGAATTGTGATTTTTCATCTCCTTTCTACCATGCACTCAACCTTTCCCAAGTCTTGTACAAAGAGCAAATCACCACCACCACGTGGGGTCAGCGTGGGGTCTCTGGGCACAGGCTTTAGAACCAGGCTGACTTTGGTTTATATGAAGGAGTTAACTCAGAGATTTAGTTTCTCAGCTGTAAAATGAGATGCTAACACATGTTATGAGGACTATATATATTTAAGTGTGTGGCAGATAATAAGCTCCACTGTAGGTTGACTTTAAGAAAATTCCCACCCAGTGTGGAGAAAAGGGAACCCTCCTACACTATTGGTGGGAATGTAAACTAGTACAGCCACTATGGAGAACAGTATGGACGGTACTTAAAAAACTGAAAATAGAGCTGCCATATGATCCAGCAACCCCTCTCCTGGGCATATATCTGGAGAAAACCATAATTTGAAAAGATCCATACACCCTGGTGCTCACTGCATCACTATTTACAATAACTAGGACATGGAAGCAACCTAAATGTCCATTAACAGAGGAATGGATAAAGAAGATGTGGTACATACATACAATAGAATACTAGTCGGCCATAAAAAAGACCAAAATAATGTATTTTGCAGCAACATGGATAGAACTAGAGATTCTTAAACTGAGTGAAGCAAGTCAGACAGAAAAAGACAAATATCATATGATATCACTTATATATGAAATCTAAAAAAAAGGTTATGAGTGAACCTGTCTATAAAACCAAAATAAAATTACAGATATAGAAAATAAACTTCTGGTTACTGAGGGGTAAGCAGAGGGAAGATAAATTGGAAGATTGGGATTGACACATACACACTTCTATAAATAAAATAGATAACTAGTAAGGACCTACTGTATACCACAGAAACTATTCAATTCTCTGTAATGGCCTATGTGGGGAAAGAATCTAAAAGAGAGTTGATCAATGTATGTGCATAACAGATTCATTTTCCTGTATACCTAAAACTAACACAACACTGTAAATTAATTACATTCCAATAAAATTTTTTAAAAATAACTAGATCCCCACCTGGCCATTTCTACCAGCCCAGTCATAATGATAGTGATGGTATAAGTGAGGAGTGCTAGAAGACAAATCTCAGCTGTCCTTGATGTCAGTTTTAGTCTCATTCTTACTGGCCCTGAGCCAGACTTCATTGCTTTTAGGTCTGGCCTGAGTTCCTTCAAACCATTTAGAAGAGCCCTGAAAATGGGCACTGCCATTTAAAAGAGTCATCCTGGCATGGGTGCCAATTAAGAAGCAAGATTAGAGATCTATTTCAGCTCTACCGAGTGTGGACACGTAAGAATTACAAATGCACACTAATAGGGCTGTGATTTTGTATCAAGACTGGCAAGAAATAGATTCCTTTGACATAGAAAAAATGGCTGTTCCAAGTTCCCAGTTTCTTAGGTAAAGTCTCTCTATGTCTCTCTGGTACTGAAAAGCTAAAAACCAATAAAAAAAAAAAAAGTCTGCCTTTTCCCAAGTTATTGATTCTTCATGCTGCATATGCTTCTGACACCATTCCGCATGGGTCCCTATTCGGAAGAGAGAAAAGCTGGGGGGAGGGTAAAAGCTCTGACACCTGCTGACTCTGTCTTTGCTTGTGTCTTGCAGCCTACTTCTGCTTCCTCCTGACTGCTCTGGGCGTGACAGCTGGTGCCCATCGTTTGTGGAGCCACAGGTCCTACAAGGCCAAGCTGCCCCTGAGGATATTTCTGGCTGCTGCCAACTCCATGGCTTTCCAGGTGGGGATGGAGGGTCCTCGCTCTCAGGGACTCGGCTCGGACGGCAGTGTGGGAGGAGACACAGACGCACGTCCTGTACAGTGGACATCCTCCGCACCCATTCTAGGCCCAAGCACTCGCTGCCTGTGTCCAGTTTTTATCTTCTTGTGGCTTTCGATACTATAAAATATTCCCCGAGGGTTTTAAGCCCCAAGGCATGCTAAGCTACAGAGGAGGAAAGGAGATTCCTTCATCCAGAGTCCGTGTTCTAAACATGACCCTGAAACCCTCAACATCTGTCTGGCTCTAATGAGGGTCAGTTTCTATGCTGAGTGTGCTATATGCATATGATATGCCTTTGATCCTCACCATAACCCCACAAGCTAGGTGTAATGCATGTCCCCATTTTACAGATGAGGAAACTAAGGCTTCATGATGTTAAAGAACTTTCCTAATTATATGGCTAAAAAATGGTACATCTAGATAGGCCAGTGCAGGTCTAACTCCAAAGTCATTGCTCCTACAACACATATTCTTGAGGTCATGCTTTAGGTTTTTGGTGAAAAGTCTGTTACTCAGTGTGGATTAGGAAGACTCAAGATTTAATTCTTACTCTGATGGTTGCTGGGCTTCCCTGGTGGCTCAGATGGTAAAGAATCCACCTGCAATGCAGGAGACCCAGGTTCGATCCCTGGGCTGGGAAGAGTCCCTGGAGAAGAGAATGGCTACCCACTCCAGTATTCTTGCCTGGAGAATTCCATAGACAGAGGAGCCTGACAGGCTGCAGTCCATGGGGTCACAAAAGAGTCGGACATGACTGAGCGACTCTCGTGGTTGCTAGCTTTGATTCATTCATCTCCAGTTTCTTCATCTGTAAATATAAGAATATGACTTCAATTTCAGAGTCGTTATGAAATCATGGCACAAATGTAAGACAGGTCATGACTGCACTAGGATTGGGCCATATACTTGAAGAATTTGCCTATCCTAGACCATTTCCCACCTCTGCAGGCACTTCCTGAGCTGCTGGAATTTTGGATTGATCATGAGTCTCTGTTTTCCCAGTTCCTCCTCTGATCCAAAAAGGGTAGGTGAGAATAACTTGCTTTCAAAATTTCTGTCCATGTTATGAGGACAGATGATTCCAGGCCCTGTGTAGTTTCAATCTATTGGGAAGAAATGGTGATTCCCCAAACTGCTTTAGGACCCAGGGAGACAGGTGACCCGGAAGTTTCTCTCTGACCCTCAGATGTGCAGGTCAGGTGGCCACCTGTACAATGGGCATCCCATCCCTACAAGACAGCCTGACCTTGAATATTTCTCTAAGTTGCTCTTGTGTCTTAATAATTCATTTCCCAATTCAGGCTTCCCTCCTGTTTGTGCATTTATAAAGCAAAAAGGATCTAGCACAATACATCACTTAGGGATCACAGTTCGTATTATGAATATCTACCGAACAATTCAAGTGCAGTTGGGAATAAGCACCAGGGTCCCGGGAGGAAGCTATTTGCACAGAGGAGCAGCTGGCGGCTTCTCAGTTCCATGTCCTTTTTGTTCACTGTTGGCAGTGGGAACTATGCTGCGCTTCACTCTGAATTCAGCCATCTTAGTTCAGTATTGGGCTTTGTTTACCCGAACAATGAGTTATGATAATTATAATTTAGAAACTCACTGACTTAGGTCTTAGATGCTATTCAGGACTTAACTCAGTAATTTTCATTTATTTTGTTCAAGCAATTTATTATTTTTAGCCTTCAACTACGTGAAGCCTTCAAGCCTTCATGTAGTTATAAAGCACCTCTATTACTGGAATGTTTTCCAACATAAATAACCTGAAGTTTAGAGCTTAAACCTCTTTTTCCAAATGAAACTTGGAAAACTTGTTTGTAGCTCAGTTTTTAAAAACTTAAGTTTCCTTAACAAAACATCACATAGAGAACATCACACTGTGATTTTAAATTTACTTTGAAGAGAAAATATATTGTCAAAGGAAGTATCCAGGTCACTGAATTAATTCTTGGCTTTGCCATTTGCTGGATGTAGGCTTTTGTTCATGTCTCTGGTCCTTTATCTGAAGAAGGTGAGTGGGGGTTGTAATGATATTTACCTCACACAGTTATTGGGAGGATGAAATAATGAATAATAAGTGCCTAACTTATAGTAGCACTCAGTGAATATTGTTTCAGTCTTCTTTTTGAGAACTGGCAACCACCTTACTCATTTCTGTATTTTAGTACCTATCACACAGAAAATATTCAGTTAAATGAAATAATAGATGAGGGTAAAAGAGGAGAGTGGAAAAAGCTGGCTTAAAACTCAACATTCAAAAAACTAAGATCATGGCATCCAGTCCCATCACTTCATGGCAAATAGAAGAGGAAAAGTGGAAGCAAGGACAGATTTTATTTTCTTGGGCTCCAAAATCACTGAAGACTGTAACTGCAGCCAGGAAATTAAAAGATGCTTGCTCCTTAGAAGGAAAGCTATGACAAACCTAGACAGCATATTAAAAAGCAGAGACATCACTTTGCCAACAAAGGTCCATGCAATCAAAGCTATGGTTTTTCCAGTAGTCATGTATGGATATGAGAGTTGGACCACAAGGCAGGCTGAGCACTGAAGAATTGTTGTTTTTGAACTGTGGTGCTGGAGAAGACTCTTGAGAATCCCTTGGACAACACGGTGGTCAAACCAGTCAATTCTAAAGGAAATCAGTCCTGAATATTCATTGGAAAGACTGATGCTGAAGCTGAAACTCCAATACTTTGGCCACCTGGTGCAAAGAGCCGACCCTGATGCTGGGAAAGATTGAGGGCAGGAGGAGAAGCGGGTGACGGAGGATGAGATGGTTGGATGGCATCACCAACTCAATGGACATGAATTTGGGCAAACTCCAGGAGATAGTGAAAGACAGGGAATCCTGGCATGCTGCAGTCCATGGGGTTGCAAAGAGTCAGACACGACTTAGCAACTGAAAACAACAACAAAGTATTTTTAGAAATCATCAAATCTGAACTATGCATGCTTCTTCCAGGCCCGCATCTGTAGTGGATTTCTTCATTAATTCAGCACGTACTTATTGAGCACCCGCTATGTGGCAGGCACTGAACTAGGCACACTGGATACAGTGATTGCAAACGTAGTTACAAACCTTGCTTTTATGTAGGCTTCCATCTAATGAGATGTTTCCCAGTGGAAATGTAGGTGCTTTTGGCATCTGCAGTTTTGTAACAATGGCACTTTGACCTAGATGAGCGGTGTCTTCCGTAAGATCAGCAAAGGGCCAGGTTCCATATAATGCCTGAGTCAGAGGAAAGAATGCAGTTGATTCAGGCCACTTAACCTTAGGAAGAGAACCACCTGGTAAAATAAAGTGTGCTGTGATCTGCCAGTCTAGAGTATTGACCTACAACTTTAACTTATTGCAGCATCATTGATTTAGTTTCCCTTTGATGTCCCCTTTCATTTTAAAAGCTCGTTTCAAAGGTTCTCTTCTGCTTTCTTCCTTAAGAATAGTCATGCCTTTGGCCAAAGTAGACAAGTCATGCCATGGTTATCTCTGTTTGAGGATCAACAGGGCTTTTGCTAGATGCTGCCAATGAGATCTTGATAATCAAGAACAATCTTAAAAATATGACTGAAATGTTCGAAACTTCTTTTTTTCTTTCTTCTGCAGAGGACTTGTGTATGGGGGAGAGGGCAATAGTGGGAAAGCTGAGTCTGAAAAGATGATGATGGGCAAGGAATGCCAGATAAGGGGCTGTAATAATCCTCTGTCCCCTCCATACCCTTGCATTCAGCAAAGACCCCATGAATTCCTGTCTGGCTTGTTCTCCTTCCTCCAGTCGCTCAGTCGTTTCCGACTGGTTTGATCTCCTTGCAGTCCAAGAGACTCTCCTTCCTTACCAGTAGGATATAAGTCACTCAAAAGGTTGCTTGTGAACTTCTTATAATTTTCTCCAGTCAACTGTGGACGTGGGTGAGGGATTCTTGCCATCCAGTGGTCTCCAAGAGTTTGGTTTTCACAGAGTACCCACAACTTTGGATTTGGGCTGTCGTGTTCATGCACACACACCCCTGCTGGCTGCAGCTGGGTCTGTTGTGACCTCAATCCAACCAAAAGCACCTGTAGATGCTTTAGTCCCCTTTAGTCCCCCTTTAGTCCCCTCCCTTACTGTCCACATTTACTAATCAGACCCTAGTAGAGAGGCACTGGATTTCAATCTGTAAGGGAACTACAGGGATTTGGCCTATGTCCTCCTGTTTTATGGAAAGGTAAAGAGAGGTGGCAGGTATGGGGTTTGATTTTTTTTTTCAGGTTTTTTTTTTTTTTTCATTTATTTTTATTAGTTGAAAGCTAATTACTTTACAATATTGTAGTGGTTTTTGCCATACATCGACATGACTCAGCCATGGATTTACATGTGTTCCCCATCCCGATTCCCCCCTCCCGCCTCCCTCCCCATCCCATCCCTCTGGGTCTTCCCAGTGCACCTGCCCTGAGCACTTGTCTCATGCATCCAACCTGGGCTGGTGATCTGTTTCACCCTTGGGGTTTGATTTTAAACGCACTTTTGCCCTGCCTACCATCTTGTTGATGGGCTTCCCTCATATCTCAGTTGGTAAAGAATCCGCCGGCGATGCAGGAGGCCCCAGTTTGATTCCTGGGTCGGGAAGATCTGCTGGAGAAGGGATAGGCTACCCACTCCAGTATTCTTGGGCTTCCCTTGTGGCTCAGCTGGTAAAGAATCCGCCTGCAATATGGGAGACCTGGGTTTGATCCCTGGGTTGGGAAGATCCCCTGGAGAAGGGAAAGGCTACCCACTCCAGTATTCTGGCCTGGAGAATTCCATGGACTAACTCCATGGGGTCACAAAGAGTTGGACACAACTGAGCAACTTTCACCGTCTCGTTGGGGCTTATCCTTTGCCCTTGGACGTGGGGCATCTTTTTTTGGTGGGATCCAACTTTCTCCTGTTAATGATTGTTCAGCAGTGAGTTGCAATTTTGGAGTTCTCAAA